CGTCGATAGAAGTCTATCAACTCACTATTCAAGATTTAACGCTTAAACAACTTCAACATCAACATGAATCGCAACTTGTCTTTGCTTCTTTTGGTCGTCGCAGTGGGTGAGTACAAACTCCATACAAAATATTGCATTAATCAATTTATTTGGACTCAAAATAGTATAAGCACTTATGCATCCACATCAACGCATAGGTAGGTAACAGGTGTATAGTACCTGCCTACTATTGTGTTAACATACCATTAATTTCAATTGTTAATTTTTGATAAAAGTGTTAACATTTTCATATTTGCTAATGCCTTTTTTAACTGATGCCTAGATAATAATCAACATTTTTTAAAATTAAACGGTAGGCCCTTTAAAATCGGCGAAATCCTTCACTGGAAACTTAATTTTTAAAAATATAATTTAGTTATGAAACTAGAAATTCTAGGTAGGTGCCCACTCAATTTTTTCTTAAATTGGTTTAAAATTATTAACTCTGCAAAAAAATTAAATTTGTAATGACAATAAATTCTATTTTTAAAAATACACATTTCCAATGGCTTCCTCTGAAATTTCCTAGAGTCTCTCCAATGTTTATTATAGCCAAATCATTGATCACACAATCTATTTTGGGTCATAGTCGCCCTGATGTTTGTTTTAATTCTCCTCATACATAAACTCGTATATGGTACCTACATTATTAATATTATATTAAATACTTACCTACATATTATATACATATACATACAAATGTACAATTATTAATTATTTTATGCATTCACCTAACCCATGACAGTTTTTTCGGTTACATACGGGTTTAGATTTTAACCAGAAGGGGCTACGTAGGGACATATGAAACGTCTATGTGGGGGCTAAGGTTATGGATCAGACGGTTCAGTGTCCCCCGCCCTAGTTACCCCAACGATAATAATGTCATACCTCTATACAATGTATTTATTATTATTATACACACCAAATGAACAAACAGCTAAAAATATTTTATCAAACTTAAAAACTATTGACACTTTGTTCGTATAATACGACAATATTTCTTTATACCTATTTAATTTTTTTTTTCAACTTTTAGTTTTTCTGGTCGCAGCCACAACAATCGATGCCGAGTGTCGCTGGCTCGACTGCCATGCACATTCATCCGGCGACTGGTGCAACATACTCGGACCCGGCTGGAGGGTCAAAACTTGGAGACGTTGTAACGGTTTGTTGGGAAAATCTGAACAGTGCTGCAAATGATAACATTTTTTAGTGTTTATTTATTTTCATATACTAATAATCCTGTATGTCCATTTATATATTTGATATCAGTGCATACGATATGTTGTAACTTGTAAGACACTAAGACGCGTTTAATTACTTTTTATATTATTGAATTATCATCATGTTTAATTGTGTAAACATTTAGTGTATTTTGATTACAGTTTAAAATAAAAAAACTATTTCTTATAAGTACTTACACAGTCTCACATGTTTTTGTATCCAACTAATATATATAGAGATAAGATTCACATGCCCGCTTAAAAGAGAAGAAAAATAATTCGTGTGAAAGGTCCTGTACACGATAAAAAGTCGAAATTGCACTCGAATTTTAAACTTAGTATCTTCAGTCTTTACTGATAGAAAATGAAACTTGTTGGTGCTTTCTAGTGGTCAAAATTGAGAACTCTGGATAATTTTCAAAAGCGTGGGAAAAAATTTTTAAAAAATAAGGAAAAACAAGAATTTTACAAAATCAATATTGTTTTTTTGTCGTACCTCAAAAAAAAAATGTCAGCATATACATAATTTTTTCAATGAATGTTTATAGTTACATTTTCTTTAGAAAATACAATTTTCATAATTTAGATCGTATTGTGTTATTTATGGGCATAAGAAATTTTCTTTTTTTTTAAATTATCATCCATAAAAAAATTTTCACATGGGCAGAAAACTTGAAAATGCAGTACAAGGTTCCTTATAAGAATATACTAGTTATACAACTATACGTACTATATTCATACTGTTACCAAAAATCTAAAAAAATGTTTAAGCACAGTCTTTTTATAGATATTTTAAGCTCAAATTTTGACGAAAATATTAGATATTTAAACGAAAAATAACAATTGTTGTTGTTTTGTTATAATTTAAAAATATTATTCACGGGTGCTTGAAAGTTCAACCAATTTTGTTAATTATTTAGAATAAGTAATGATTAGGGCAGATTTCTTGTAGCAATAAAAAGTAACTAATTAATAAATATGCATTTGAATACCCAAAATATGCATTTTGAAAATTAAATCATTAATATTTTTGCTTATTTTTATATTTTATTTAACTAAATTTATTATTTTGAATTACTTTTATTTGTTCCAAATGTTACGACTTTAAGTATTATAATGTATAAAATGTTCAGGCTTCTAGGAAAAACATGAGCTAGTAAGAGCCAATCAAATACCTACCATGTTATACGACGAAAATTCAAAATAAATCTATGCTTCGGCTGTATTATTTACAATAAACATGTCAGTGGAGAATAAATTGATAAAATTATTAATTAAGTTATAAATATGTCTCAAAAAGTATAAAATCGAAGAAATATGCACTCAAAACAAAAATCTTAAAATATGCATTTAAATGCAAAATAAAATTTCAAAACTAGCTTTGTGGACGCATGAAACGTGTTTGTTTTGTACCTACTCAGCTTTTTTTGTGACTGTGCAAAACAAACATGCAAATTGCACAAGTTCTCTACCCAAATAATGGCTAATGACAAATATGTAGTAAAATAAATTACTTATACTTTAATAGCAATAAGACCTATTATAAAATATATTTAGTAATGTAGACCTACGGACCGTCTTCGTTAAAAATCGTTTCTCACAAACGATACGCCTACAATGATTTTATATCATTGAATTCAAATTTAACACATACATTACGGTGGCCCACACGAGACATAATGTTCAGCAGAACAGTACCCACTATTTATGCATTGTAAGTACTCTTACTAAATATATATTTAATATCTACCAAAACAAATTTGGACAACAGCAAGGGGACGGGGAAGCTATGTTCAACCTTTGAAAACAAAAAACGTATTCGAATACGTAAATAGGTACACCTAAATTTCATAGTTTACGTCGCTACGAAATAACGAAATAAATATTATAATGTAGTTATTCGTGATAATTTATAATAATACTAGCTGTCCCGTCACGGCGTTGCCCGTGTGTTATATAGCTATATAAAAAAAACCCTTTTACCCCCTAAGAGGTCTAATTTTGAAAAATTCTTTCAAAAAATATTAATCCTAATAATTACGAATGATTCTAATGGTTCTAATGATTCTATACACATATTGTTATTAAAAAATGATTCTTTACAATTGTACTTATAATATTATAATTTCCGTAGTTAAACACGTTTATCGTATATCGATAAGAAATGTATTATTATTTTTCGATAACGCAATTTATATAATTGAGCTATTCGATATTTTCCATAAAACTCTTAACTTAAAAAAAATGTTATGTTAGTTTGTAGTTTATAATTTCGGCAAGTTATAAATACGTTATAAATACTACGTTGCTACGTACGATCGTCAGTAGACAAATGAACTGTCGTAGTGTCGTGTCGATACAAAGATCTATTATATCATTAATCATTATTATATCTTTCCTAGCTGATCCCTTGCACTTCGTTTCCCTTTCAAAATACCAACTCTACGCATGAGACTCGCTTGGGATAATGTGAGCAGTACATTATCAGGTAGGCTCTCTGCCTGTGGTGTATGAATACAGAATAGTTTCATCTTAATTTTATTTATTATTTTGATTGTGTACATGTCGATGAGCGGCTATAAGTGTAACTCAGTCCACAGCCACCTTGGTAGACAATGTACTAAAATTCGATTTGATGCATTCTTAAGCATGATCGAAAAACTTTAAAAAAGTTCCAAGTTCTACTAATAAATTAAGAAAGTCGAGTGGAAAATTAGTTATTAATTAAAATCAACGTGCAAATTGTATAGGTACCTACACACATATTGTATGGCACAGCGGCCCGCGGGATTGCTTAACTAACCATGATGAACAAACACTTACCAAAAAACTCACTGTTAAATTTTTCATTAACCTTCCGATTGATTCCACTGTGAAATGAGCACTAAGAAATTAGACATTAACTGTTTTATATCATAGATAGACTATAAGATAGTCGATGGATCATGGATGGATCTATTTTAAATGATAAGCGATAAGCGTTATGCCTCGACAAAGGGAAATAGGGATTTATTTATTTAAAAAATATAAGTTTTTTGACAAAAAGTTGTGGTCGCATGTCGCTGTGGAAACCCACAAGTCGCCGTGCTATAAAATATGTATATAGATATACAATTTGTACGTAAACAATTTATTTTTGCCGATTTCAACCCTTTAAAATCAAAATTCTGAAAAACCCTTTCTTAGTGGAACTTGACATTATAATATTAATCCATCCTCAAAATCACAATTTTATAACTCAAATAGGTTCGACTGAGCGTTGATTATTGCTAAAGTAACTTTCCTTTACATATATAGAGAAGAACATTTGGTAAACGCTTTTCGATTTCAGTCACAAAACCAAGCATCACATTATAGCAACACTCACAACATAATAATTATTACCAATATACATTTAGTCATTTAGAATAAAATTGTGTCAAATATCAATTTTAATTTCACAGACGTTCGAAATTGGAAGTTTTCAAAATGTATTACAAGACGGCGATATTACTTACGTACATAGAATACATAGAATCATAAAGATGATCCAGGATCGAAGTTTTGCCGGGACTCCCGCTATTTCATATACAGTGATCGCCGCTTATAGGACTCACTTTGGGACCTGACCATTTGAGTCCATTAACCGAACTAGTCAATAAGGCGAATGACCCCAAATAAAAAATTTTTAAAATCCTTAAATTCAAAAACTTATTTATTTAAATATATTTATTGAGATTCAAGGTATGTATGTATAAAAATAAAAATCTAGCTATGAGCAATTAAAAATAAAATAATGTAATATAATAATGTATGTAAAATCGAATTAATTTTTCGATAAAAATCCATCTAGGGTTGATTGGATTTTCCCTTCTTCGGCCAACTTCATAATCATATCTTCGTAAGATTTATGTAGCTCGAATAAGTCAAAATCGCCTCTTTGCTGAATCCTTCGACGTAAAATTTGAAGCGCAAAATACCCGTACCGACTTATTTTGCATTTATAACACGTTTGTTCAGTGTTATTTATTTATCTAATTTTCAAATGACCCTATTTACCGGTGTGTGAGTCGAATAGACAATTTTTTTTGCTGTGTGTAAGTATATGTGCAAATCGGGACCAGCCGTTTTGAGTTTAATAGGCGAATGAGTCAATTAACCGTGAGTCCAATAAACGACGACCACTGTAATATGTACCGGGTATCCAATAAAGAGATTACTAAATTTTCAACAATTATATAACTATAATTTAACGACTTAAAGTTTTTAGTTTCAACTATTTGGTCAATATTTGGTTTTCTCTTTACTGAATGCCTTGCAAACATATTTTCTGCAGGTTTAACTGTGTACGCAGTTCTTCAAGTCAAAGGCACCATACGTATTATGCACCATTTGTCAGGCCGTGTAGTTTATTTAGTAACTGGTCCTGAGAGCAGTTTAGTTGGGAGTCTAGAAGTACCATTTTTGTGTACATATATATGTGCGTTGTACAGGACGTCCAACAAATAAATGATGAAACGTTAAACAGATATATAGAATATATATTAAATAACTTAAAAATTAACACCTAATAACTCGTTTCAATTTGAATATTTGATTAGTGTTTCCTCTTTACTGGGCGCCCTTCACATATTTTTACAGGTTCAACTGTGTATACGGTTCTTCAAGGCAATGCACCACTATTTGACAGGTCGTATGGTTCATTCAGTACTTACCTGGTCTGAAACACAATTTTGCTAGGACCTAGGACTCACATTTGTATCTATAATATATATATATATATTTACAGGACGCCCAATAAAGAGATGGTCTAACTTTAAACAAATATACAATTTGCATTTAAATTTTTCTTTCTAATTTTCAATTTTCAAATAATGGTTGATTTTTGCTCTTTACTGGACGCCCTACACATATTTTTTTGTAGGTCTCGAGTAAATCGAGTGGTTCTACATACAACCGCACTATAACTTTTGCTATGCACTTGCTAAAATCGCATGTGGAGTAGATATAAATAGCGTCTTAGATGTCTACTATTATACATTTCTATTCTGTACACCTTGCGTGTATGTGCCTAATTATTTTTGAAAACTCGACGAAAAATAATCATTATACTTCAAACGTATGGCTTATGTGCTCAGCGCAAATAGTTAATACATAGACTGTTGGCTTGCGAGATAGTGACAACAAATCCCAGTAACATGGTTTTGTTTGAAATGTTAATGGTTAATATGTAGTAGGTACCTATGTACCATCGACATTTAACAAATGGATACTAGTATAATATTTTACTTCACTGAACATACACTCTTACAACAACATTACTGTATAGGAAACGATGGTCTCACTCATAAGCTTCTGAGCAATAGAGAAATTAATATTTTCACAAGAGTGAAAGAATTGAAACCATGTTGTGATTAATAGTGGTATCAGTGATTTGGGCTTTTACGGATTTGTATAAAATATCACATCTATAAGTTTAATAATTGAGTATCAATGTCATGGTCGAGCTGACACTGACCTTAACCGGCTTAACCTTGTATTGTATATTTGTATTACATTTTCAAGCATTTTGAAACACTGAAAATATTTTTATCGATTCTTGTAGAAAAAAACCATCAAATTACAATATGTCAAATGTTTATAGATTGCTCAAGGCGATTCAATAGATTTTAAAATTATAACATATATAGAAAACCGACGTTTAATATTATCGGCAGTATTAACATTTTGTAAACATTAAAGTATCTAAAGGTTTATCCGATTTTGAAATTTTCCCTAATTTTTTTTTCTTTCCGATCACTAAGAAAGGTACTGTGAATATTTAATTTTTATCTCCCAAAAGTAGTTACCAGTAGATTATATATTCTACAAGAATAGATATTGAAAATCAAAGCATACATAAATAAATATAAACATCTTGTTGACATACGCCAAAAAAAATACAAGTGTACAAAGTATACACACATTATTGTAAAAACAATAAATTTAAAAAAAAAATCTAAAATTAACAATTACTTATTAAGCATTTTTATATGTTATGTACATAGTTTATGAGTAAATGAATTTCCGTTTAGATTCTCATCAACAAAATTATAATAACAGTAATAATTAATATCTAATAATTTGGTACATGCTATACGTATATACATTATACAATGTGCAATCAGAATTAAGTATTGATGCTTATAGGTACTTCTTTAAAAATAAAAATTTATAAATAAAAAAAACCCATAATACATTATGTTAACCTAATCTGCAATCTGTAGTTGTTTGATCTCATTAATTATAATTTATAATGGTTAAAAGCGATACATTTAAAATACTATTAGCTTAGGTAGTAAATATATGTACGGGATTTACCTATACCGTTATTGATAACTGCGCTCGAATGCGTGACGTTTCAAACATAATATTAGGTAGTAAAATATTTTGATTGTTTACCATACCGCGATCTTTGCAATGCGTGATGTTATTATATGCCTACTAATTATTAAATATTAAATATTAAAATACACATTAAAAATGTCACTTTTCTGAACCTTATATTGCCGTTTTCTATGTTAATTAGTTGATTAGTATTTAATATTCTGATTAGCAATCGTTAATTATCTATTGGGAATTTCCTGAGCGTTTAACAACACGCAAGAAGCCATATTATTATTGTTGTTATTATTGTTGTTATTATTATTATTATTATTATTATTATTATTAGGTGGAAACAATTATCATCGTTTCAAAACTATAGTAGGAGTATACTACCAATAGTTCTTAGTATGAATCATCCGATCATCGATATTTGTCCTATAAAAGAACAAGACTAACACCTCGGAAAACATAATCCGCCTTCCAACCGTCGATAGAAGTCTATCAACTCACTATTCAAGATTTAACGCTTAAACAACTTCAACATCAACATGAATCGCAACTTGTCTTTGCTTCTTTTGGTCGTCGCAGTGGGTGAGTACAAACTCCATACAAAATATTGCATTAATCAATTTATTTGGACTCAAAATAGTATAAGCACTTATGCATCCACATCAACGCATAGGTAGGTAACAGGTGTATAGTACCTGCCTACTATTGTGTTAACATACCATTAATTTCAATTGTTAATTTTTGATAAAAGTGTTAACATTTTCATATTTGCTANAATATTTTAATTTTTTTTTTTATCTTAATTGTTTTTTAGTTTTGTGAATGACAACTCACATTTTTAATTTCATACTCCGAAGCAAAATATTTTTCTAAGAATTGTTATGGTGTTGACGGTATTGACTTATAAATTAATAATAGATAGTAATATTTATATTAAGATATGAGGTACATCGGTGCATACATTATTATTATTTTGTATGTGCTTTGTTTTAGAAAAAATTACTTCAAACTAAAGATACGTATTACTTACAAGTTACAGACTTACAATTACCTAATAATTTATAAGTAATAAGTGATATCCTTATAAAATATTATTAGAAAATAAAAATACATAGACATTTTATACATTTTATATTACATTTTCAAACCATAGATGTTAAAATAACATTTATTATTAATTTTTAACCAAAAACAAATTTCCGAATTTTCGGAGTTTTGATAAATTTCATAAAAAATATGTTTTTAAATGCTTGAAAAAAAATTGTGATTGGAATTTTAATCAATTTATTTTCTGTCATCGGCACTTTTTTAAGCAGTAAAAATGATAAGGTTTTCAACTTTAAGGTAACAAATTGGATCTAGTTGATAATTTTCAAAAGATTTTGACTCTGTCTAATCGATTCTACTATTTGCGCCTGTGATAATAGGTTATCGCTATTAGAGTAATTTATCAGTTGAAGGTTGGATTTATTTTTGGCGAAAACATTTCATTTGAAATTGCCATTGATATATGTATAAATATACTTATTAATATGTATATTTTAAAAGTTTCAAGTACCTATGAACAATAATTTAAATTACTGCAACAAAACAACTACAATTGTTTCATTGTTAAATATCAATAAATAAAAAAAACACTGTATTTATATATTTTTTAGGCTTTTGACTACCTACAGTATAAAATACTTGACTATAGAAACCTTATTAGTTTAAATTTCCGATCATTACAAATTTTAAGGAACCTCTTGTGGCTATTAAATTTTCAAGTTTTTTAACAATGCAAACATTTTTTATATATACGTAGGATAACATCAAAAAAGTCAAATGTCTGTAAATACATCTAAAATTTTAAAATATTTTTAAGTTATACCATGTATAGAATACTTAAATATTAAAATGATGAGAACATTTTTCAACAAACACCTACAACAATTCAATCAATTTTAAATTTTAAAAACTTAAGAAAAAATTGTTGAAAACTGCAGCTTGTATGTGAAAACTCAAGTTTTTGAATTTTTCCCCAATTTTATTCGTTCCATTTGATCTTCTAAAAATACCAACTAGATTCTATTTCCTACTAGAAAAGTCATTAAAATTTAAAATCATAGCAATTTGTTTGAATAGAAATCGCGTAAATAACATACAACAAAAAAAAAACACATACACACATCATTGTGGTAATAGATTAAAAAAAAATACATCTAGGATTTACAATTTGGTTATTATTAAGTAGGTACTTATTTATGTTATATATAATATTATATATCATTGTCTGTTGTGCACTTGTGCTTATTGTTTTGATCCCAATAAAAAAATAATAATAATAATAATAATAATAGTAGGTAATTTAATACTATAATAATTAGATACGTGTAAACGTAATACGTATATGGTGTATAATATAATATAATATAATAAGCAATCAAAATAAAATGCTAATAACATTGCTTGATAATAAGAATGCCTGTAAGTAGGTACCTACTTATTAAAAATTAAAATAAATAGAAAACCCATAATATATTATGTTAACTTGTAGTTGTTTGATCTCATTAGGTAATTATGGTTTTACCCACTATAGTTTTAAAATACTACTAGAGCTTAGGTAATGGGTAATTAAAAGAGATGTTATATGGGATTTACCTATAGTATATTGATATCTACACGTGAATGGTTGATGTTTAAAACATAAGAGTAAAATATTTTGATTCTTTAACAAACCGCGATCTTTGGAATACGTAATTTTGTTGCATACTTAACTATAGGTATATAAAATCATTAAAATGTAAATTAAAAAATGGTACTTTTCCGTAGTTGTCGTATTCTTTTTCTATTGCGATTAATATTCTGATTACCATTCGTTTATTATCTATTGGGAATTGCCCGAGTGTTTTTCTACAAGTAAGAAGCCATATTATTATTATTATTATTATTATTATTATTATGATAATTAGGTAGTAAAAAAATATTATCGTTCAATAACTATTATGGTAGTAGGTACCTACCTACTACCTAGTATGAATCATCCGATCATTGATATTAATTTTTGTCCTATAAAAGAACAAATCTAACACACCGGAAAACATAATCTACCATCCAACTGTCGAAAGAACTCTATCAACTCACTATTCAAGATTTTAAAAACTCTAACTACATCATGAATCGCAACTTGTCTTTGTTTCTTTTGGTTGTTGCTGTGGGTAAGTACGAACTACATACAAAATATTTTATTAATTGTTAAACAATTTATTTAGACCTACTGAGTAGTGGGTACTTATACATCCATTTCAACGCATAAATGACTGGTGTATCTTGTTGGCGTACCATAAATTTGAACTTTTAACTTTTAATAAAAGTATAAGCATTTCTGTATTTGCTATTTTAACCAATAGATAATAATCAACTAGCAATTTTTAAAATGAGGCTGTATTTACATTAGAATAGTCGAGACTGTTGACTGATAACTTGATTTTTAAAAGTACAATTATTTAACTATGGATCTAGAACTACTTGGTAGGTACAAACCCAAAATATTTAAAATTGGTTTTAATTTATTTATTAAATTATTAAGAAAATTATACTTGCAAAAACAGTATTACAAATTAACATACGTCTTAAAAATTGTATGTATATCAAATCAAAATATGCTTGTATTCATTTTTAACATTTTTACCCTATTGGCTATTTCAAACTTTCGAAGGAAATACCGCTATAAAGTGCTGTTTAGATGTGTAGTGTAACATTTAATAATACCTAAGTATGTTGTGCATTCGATACACACATTCATTGGTCTTTAATATTTCAAATGTACCTATATAAAATATACAATTCTGAAGTCATGATGATATAAATAAAAATAACACAGATACAGAATGAGAATACAAATAGCAGAATGAAAAATGCACTTAGTTATATATTATTATAATTAAATTATCATAAATCATAATATTTTAGTACCCAAATAAAGTCTTATTTCAACATTTATTTTCAATAATATCAAACTTTAAGTTCCTTACTCGTCCCCACCAATCATTAAAAATAAAATAATTATATTATATAGGTCAATAACTGTTTAATAATACTAATATTTAGATGGGTAGGTACGTATGAAATTGGCCCCTTTATTTTATTTCATAAATTTTAAAAATATACCAATATTTTCAAAATTAATTGCAAATAATTCCAAAATGATTTTTAGAATTTGCAAATTTTTTTTTTTTTGTGAATTTTACAAGTTTTTGTTCAACCCCGTGACTTCATGTCCCATCGATTCTAAAAATATACCAATTCGCTTAAAAAATATTGATTTGCAAATTATAAAAATCAGTTTGCAATTCTTTGCAATTAATTGGCATATTTTCAAACTTAAGTAGTATATTCAAATAAAGTCGAGGGGCGCCACCTTCACACACATCAGACACATCCTATTTATGTCATTTTTCATAAAATGAAATATCATTATCGATCATCTTAATAGATAACTATCTTTCTATATTAAATATTATAGCCACACCACTGAATCTGTTTTGGACCATAGGAGGCCGAGGCTGGTATAAGCAAGAGGTTCAGTGCTGACCCCCCTCCCTCCATATTTACGCCAATAATAATACACCTAGATGTAGCCACCTACCTTTAGAACAAGATACAAATATTTTATCAAACTAAAAAACTATTGACACTTTGTTCGTACAATACGACAATATTTCGGTACACCGATTTAATTTTTTTTTCAACTTTTAGTTTTACTGGTCGCAGCCACAACAATCGATGCCGAGTGTCGCTGGCTCGACTGCCATGCACATTCAGCCGGCAACTGGTGCAACATACTCGGACCCGGCTGGAAGGTCAAAACTTGGAGACGTTGTAACGGTTTGCTGGGAAAATCTGAACAGTGCTGCAAATGATAACATTTTTTAGTGTTTATTTTTTTCGTATACTTATAACTCTGTATGTTTATATACCTACATATTTGATACCAGTGCATACGATATGTTGTAAGACACTACGACTCGTTTAATTACTTTTATATTATTGAATTATCATCATGTTTAATTGTGTAAACATTTAGTGTATATTGATTACAGTTAAAAATAAAAAACTATTTCATATAAGTACTTACACAGTCACACATGTTTTTGTATCCAACTAATATATATTGTTTATATGTATATATATATATATATACATTACACATACATTTGTGTACAACCATGCTGTCCTTGTAGTTTCTAATTCAAAGTGCAAGGAGGGGCTAAACAAAAGCTTCATGAAGGGTGAAATATTTTAAGCTCTTTACAGCAGATAATATGTTGTACAACATCATCACAATACCTTCTAGTAAACCTACTATTTACTGTATAGTGGCAGACAGTCAGAGGAAGCGAGATAATATTCACATGCCCGCTTAAAAGAGAAGAAAAATAATTCGTGTGAAAGGTCCTGTACACGATAAAAAGTCGAAATTGCACTCGAATTTTAAACTTAGTATCTTTAGTCTTTACTGATAGAAAATGAAACTTGTTGCCTGTTGGTGCATTCTAGAAGTCAAAATTGAGAACTCTGGTTAATTTTCAAAAGCATGGGAAAAAATAAAAATAAATAAAGAAAAACAAGAATTTTACAAAATCAATATTGTTTTTTTGGCGTACCTCAAAAAAAAATGTCAGCATATTCATGATTTTTTCAATGAATGTTTATAATTAAAAACATAATTTCATATGAGTACCTACTTACACATATTAACTTTTATCCAACTTATATTTATCTATATGACTATATACATTTATATACAATCATGCTGTCCTATTGCAGTTTATAATTCTGCAAATACACAAGTGCCATGATGTTATACGCTGTGGCCTGTGGGCTACACAAGAGCTTTATGAAGGGTGGATCATTCTAAACTCTTTACAGCGGACATCGTACCAATCTCTTACAACAGATACAACATCGCAGTATTATAGTATCCCTAGGTACCTAATATCGGTATGATATACTTAGAATGTATTATACTGATACTGAGTATCAAGACTAAGAGCTGAGTGTGAGGCCTCGTCCGGTGATTTACGGGCGCTTATAAATTTCTGAAATGCCAAAAAAAATACAATTGCTGCAAATAACAATTATCAAATACAAACTCAAAAGGTTGACTTTCAATTTCTCATCAAATTTAGCTTGCGGGAATCTTTCAAGGTACGAGGGCAATTAGCCATTAGGTACCTAATTCAGCATCACGTGAACGAAGCCTAGCAAATTTTATAATTCAATAGAAACAAAATACCAACAGGACAGCCAGTCGAAATTACAGACGAGTAGACAACAGAACAATACGTCGTAAGACTTACCTCTCTCATCACTTTTCTATAATACATAAATAGTAAGAACAATCGAGATAAGACACATAAATTATTAAAAGTACCTACATAATTAATGATTGCTTTATATAAAAAAAGCCAAAAAGAGAATTTTTTTTCGGTTATACAAATATATGCACCTGTTATTTTACAATGGAAAAAATCAAGTACAATAGCTACAAAATATTTATAAATTATAGATGTTTAAAAATATTAAAGGTACATAGGCACGATTTTTTAATTTCATAATTAAACAAAATTAGAATAGATGCCTCAGCCAAAAGCTGAAGAATAAGGACTTTAGTTATTCCGTCGGATATTACACAAGTACCTACTAACCTTTATAGTTAAATGATACATGCATTTTTGAACATTTTATCATAAATTCATAAATTAATCATTGCTTTATTTACAGCTTACTGCCATTAAGCAGCACCATGTGCAGTGGTTTGTAAACAATAAATAAGTATTAATAATTTCCACTGATTAGTGTGTAATAATGAAAATGATAAAAAAAACCTTAGAATTATTGGTATAAACTAAATTATAGACTATAGATGTATTACAATGTTAGTTTAATATTGTACAACTTCAATTATTTTAGGTAATTTTCATCTAAAGATAATACTGCCACAAATCATAACTTTGTTTTACAACTTATTTTTTCAATTTGGTGTCACTGTTTTTCTGGATTTACAACACAAATATAATTATATTATGGCAATAGGATGTAGAAATAAATGTGAGTATATATTATGAGTTACCTAATTTCCCAGTTACGGAATTCTTGGACCAAGACAAGAAATGATTGACACATACTATTTTGACATCTTAATCCACTAACTAATGTAAAAATATTTCACTATGCACCCCCATCAGATAATATAAGTCATTTAGTTTCAACTATTAAAAGAATAAGTATTTAAGCTATACAAAAAGATTGGAACATTAAGACTAAAAAGAAACATTTTGCTATTAAAAATCAAATATTTTAATACATAATTTATGAAATTCTCATATAACCTGCAAGTTCTATTTAATTATCAATTTATGATCTCAAGTATTCTGAATACAAATTGGGTTTATCATAATTAAACTACTACATATTTAACCAAGGTATTGAATTAAATTTTAAATAAAAACAAAATATTTTTTTGCAAATTGATTTTTTTCCATTTTGTATAAAATTTAACATACTTGAAGAATAATATTATGAAAAACTAAATGGTACAAAAAGTGTAGATTATATATGTGAAATTAATAATTAATCCTTACTAACAACCTGTAACCATCTGCCAACTTACAAATAATAACAATCACCAATGTTTAAATTTTAACACAATATTCTCAAAAATAAAAATAAATTTGAATGTTTTAAAAAAAAAATTACCTTATACCATCAGCTTACAGTTATTTCAATTTGAAATTATTGATATTAGACCAAATTTAATATTATTAGTTATTACAAACTTTTTTATACTTAATAACCTAATTAAAATGAAATTATCATTGACTATTGTGCAAAAGTTTAAAGTAACAAAATATTTCAGAGGTACAATTTGAAATCAAGCTATTTTAGTTATAAGTTATAACCCATAACTTATTTAAAAATTAAAATATTTATTAATTAATTGGTAATGATGATGCTTGCTTCCTTACTAGTAGTTTTAAATGAAATACATTGTATGCGTTTTACAAAAACTGTTGATTTAACCAAAGCAATAGCATTTCAAATAAGTAAAACAACAGAACCACAAGAAGTCAGTTGAGTACTATATTTCAAGATTCAAATTGTGAACTTTATATTTCATTTGAAAATTTGTGTTGAAATATAAAACAAGATTATTTCATTAAATGAATGTATTGTTTTACATTAAATTAGGAGGTTAGAATATTGTCTTTTGTTTTTAAAAATATTCCTATAACTTAACTGATGCCCTGCATCATATAAACCAACATACTGTTGTAAGGAATATGACTATTTTGTGGATAAGATTTTTAACAAATAGTTGTTGGATTATATCAAAATGTAACTTAAAGATAACACTATGATATAAACTCGGTGTAGCCAGGTTTTATTGAATAAAAAAAAAAACAAGACCAATACAATAACAAATCCCTTACATACAATAAATGTTTGATTTATATATAGAAAACAGGCCCACTGACAAAGAACAAACATAAACATTGAGATGTACTATTTGAACAATTTTCTGAATTTGTTGTTATTGATACACATTTAGTTTTGTTCAATTAAAAATCAAATTTAGAAACTTAATCTCCACAGATATAATGTGAACAATATGATTGTTATAAAAAAAAATTCTACCACTATTGATAGAAGAATGTTAAACAAGAAGATTTTATTAAAATTTTTCTTGACATATGTTTATCCTTGTTTTTTTTCCTGGCTTCGAATTTGAAAAATGTGATAATTAGATTAGGTGTAGAAACTCTGGAACTAGTTACGCTTGCGGCATTCACGGCTCAAATGTCCCTGTTCACCACAGTTGTAACAACTTTGTTTGTTACCCTCTGGGCAATCACGAGCCATATGTCCAGAACCATTGCAGTTACGACAGAGGGCAGAGTAGTTACCAGAACCACCATTTCTAAAACAAAATTATTATAAATCAATAAATATTATCTACTGCTAATACACAAAATTATAATTAAATATATAAATAAAAAATGCATATTAAAAGGACATGGTAAACGCTTGTGTTGTCTCAGTCTTACACATAACGACATTTTAACCAATTTCAATAATATGCTATTAGTTTTGATATAAGAGTGAATTGACGACCTATTATCAAACTGTTAGGTACAATTATTATTTAGCGCATGACATAGGCTTTTATTGATATTATTCTTAAGTAGGTTATGATTAATTTAACATAGATATTAATATATATGTCCTATTTAAAACTACAATTTTTGTTCATGTTAAATCAATAAAAGCCCAAGTTGTGCCCTAGATAATAATCTTACTTTCAAATTTTAAGAATAACAAGAGTAACATGGATTATTCTTAATGTACATTTTTACGACGGAGACAACACATGTGGGTTCCACATCCTTGTAAGAGTTGAATGTTAAAATATGTAATAATAGAAAATGACATTTTATAGGATTATTTGGTAATTTGAACTGTAGCTAAATATTGTTAAAGGAGCAAAAATTATTTTCTTCTCATCATTATTTAATATTAAATTATGGTAATTAAAACTATTAGACACTAATTGGTCCAAATGCTACGTAAAAAAATATAATTTAAGGAGAAATAATGATATTTGGAATGGCCAGGTGACATTATTTGGTCCAATTCTCTAACTCTGTTAAGTGCAAAAGTTGCTCATTTTACACTTGATTTAGCCATCTAAAAATAATATTGCTGATGTTTGATTTTTAAGTATAAATGTTTAACTTTTTGTCCTTAAGATAATAGAAGTATCAGAATTTCAATAAAACATTCAGTTTTTCTTTAAATATTAAAATTGTTAAAGGAATGATAACGATCAAATGCACTGCGATAAGGGACTGTTGAGGTTACAGTACCTAACAAAAATTACTGTCTTAAGATTTTAAATATTCCAAAAAACTAAACAAATTCTGGTCTTGGTAACATCTTCGGCGCATAAAAAAACATCACATATCATGTACAAGTACAACAAAAAATTATACTTTAAAGGTAATTAAATTATTTTGGGAAGCGAGCAATTTCAAAATATTTAAGATAGGCAGACACAACAAGCTCGAGCC